TTCTTTGTTGTGTTATCTCAACCACTTCAAAACCGATCGAAACCAAAACGTTGGAATATTCAAAGGTAAAAGGCGAAGTGAGTGACAACGAGCCACTCAAACTACCTAAACTCTCAGATCCGAAAAGGGGGTCGATACACTCTACCAATCCATATGGTACTCCAACCACCAAAAGTACCGACCAATGGACGGCAAGGAGCAGGCGCCATCTACTCCTTTCCGTTTCAGTAATTCGAGCCGAATACATCATTCCACCACTTGTAAAATTTCACCTTGAATCTGCCCACCCCGGCAGATGCACACTCCATTTTGCGCCAGCGATAATGCAATTGCATCGAGATCGCCCCTATCGGACGCCATAGGGAGACTGTAGATGTCTTTCGTTACTTCGCACCACTCTTCAGCCGTAAGTTGGACTTGGACTATACGGCTCTAGAGTTGGAGTTTAGTGTAATAGACATAGGAATTCTACCAAAGCAAGAACGGCCAAAGTGACCCTTCTTGACATGGAGTACGTAAGTGGGTGTTGTAATAGGTTGACATACCGAACAAACTGATCCTGATATTCCAAAGCACATAAAGTTAAAGTAAAGCACTTGTATGAATACTGTAGTCATGGTTGCCGTTGTATATTCTTACCAGAAGTTGTATATTCTCGACATAAGTTGTAGATTCTTGAGAGAACTTGTAGACTCTACGGCGCATGAATTAGTATGGACAGCACTAATTACGTCGACGGTGTTGTGTTACTTTCAAGTATGGTGTTATAACGTTAGAAGATAATTTCTGACATGGAATACCTCTTGACACACAGCAGCAGCCAATCAAAACACTTGAACATGCTAAATTACCAATTTAGCTTGGATGAATGGCATATTCGGTCGGCTCATGTAAACGTAGATGAGCGGTAGGTAGGCAATACTGTAGTAGGTGAGCGAGGATAACATAAGCAAGAGGTGGGATAGTGCCGAACGCAAACCAGCCAACCGATAAAACCTATCCATGTGTTGATCGACCACCACAAATCGGTCGTGTTTGTACGTCGGCACGACTCACCCAACAGCCTATCGGGATGGTGCAAGGTCACAAACTGCACACATTGCACCTACTGCACTGGGTTGTTGATATGCGTAAAGATTGGGATGCGTGCACTACCGGTAGGTGCTCCAGAAGAGTCTCAACAACAAACACAGCGGTAGTTCTGCTTAAATGTGAATTTTCCTATAGCAAAAGCACCTTCCCAACAAGATATTCCCTCAAGGATTTTCATGGAAATTGTATTGGAAAATTCGTGTGGATTCTTGGTGCAATATCACTCTATTGCAATAACTTACTATGAAGTTCATTTGGGAACGTTGACCAGAGGCTGCGGGAAATCGCGAAAACCGGTTTCGCATGGGCAAAACTCGCAAAACGTAACTATATTCAATTCGACAGGTCAATTTTCAAACGAAAATAGAATACTTTTGGCAATTAACAAAATGTAAACAGGTGTTTACATTTTGTACACTGACGCGATTGATGCACTTTCGTGGCCAATTTTGACTCTATTTGAACGTATTTTCATTCAACAATCTAGGAGCATAATCTCAACATTGCGCTCTGTTATATGAGCTAAAGCGATATTAAATTCAAGGGGGTTTAGGTTGGGTTTTTTAGGTTGAAGGACCATGAAACTGACGAACCTGCAATGTTCGAGGTGTGATTTCACGTGAACCAACACGCAGTTCATGAATCTGATTACATATTCGTGGAAACCTTGGTGAGGGGTCAATGGACATAAAAATTGGAAGGATTTGGACAGAATTTAGGTAGTGTTTTTTAGGTCAAAGTATTGAACTTTCAGTTTACAAAATGTAAACTGGGCTGTTTACATTTCGAAAACATTTTATATTCATTTCAAGACTTGACCAATTTTTCATTTAGTTTAAGGGTTCGTCTGGTAACCGGAAATATTGCAATATTCAGGCCCAAAACGCCATTTTGGGGCCGAATTCAATAAATCTGATCATATTGAAACATGTCTTGCTTGAAGAGTTTTAACCCAAATCCAATAATTCCGCGTGGGATTTACTCGTTGAAGAGGTCCAAAACGCCACATTACAAAATGGACCTTTTACCTCCATTTTGAAAATGACATTTTGGTTAATCCCATTTTGCGAGAAAATGGAATATTATTTTTGAAATGTTACCAGACGCACCCTAAAGAAAACTCAAGATGTCCAATATCATCATTGCACCCATGACCGCGTTTCGCCACGTTCATACGCTAAGTACCAAGTGCCGAGTTTCACTCGTTCCGACTGACACTACCTCGCTTTGGTGTATCACATTATAACAGCGAAACATGCACATTAGTACCAATCATTATTGTGTGTTCTACTCAAAATTTCCACGCGTTGTTCTGAAATCGCCCCGATCCGAATACTACACCTCATCATACTGCCCAGTCAGTTGTGGAAAACTCAGTTGGATGTCCAATTTCTGCCCAAATCTCGAAATTCTATTCAATCATATCATCGCGGATGTTGTTGGCATATCATCGCGGCTTTTTGTTGGCGATTTTCACAATAGCTTACAATTGGCTAGTTTAACCGGAAAGCACAATAGCTTCCCATGTTACCGGGGTTCAACTTGATCTCTAGTAAGGTCGCCATACTGTAGTGTTGGCATGGTTTGAATGTGTTAACTCGTCCTGCAAAGGTGTCGACGAGACAACCACTTGCCGGTTATTCATCCAGAATATTTAGCGACCTATTTTATTATACTATTTCTAATATGGGCATACAAACTACAAGTATGTATTCAAATTAGAGTTAATTATAAAAAATCAGTTAACTGGTAAGAGTACGATAATATAAAATTCTGCAAAAGATATGGAACAGAGTAAGAGTAAGGTAATGCATCAATTGTTGACACGGCAATAAAATCTCAATAATCAAGTTGGCCTTGTATGATTGGATATGATAATATTCGCATTAAAATTATATTACACGCCTCAACCATGGACTGCGTCCATCTTTTTTCCCTCTAAAACAATAAAATTACTGACATTTTTTTTTAGTTTCGCGGCATTTCCAGTGATGCCTGTAAACCAAAAGACCTTGGAAGCTGTCGAGCGTGTTCAAGCAGGTGAGAGCATCGCCGCCGTTGCCCAGAGCTCTGACATATCACGCAGCACCCTTTTTCGGGCCCTCAAAAAGGTCAAAGAAGGGAGTGCGCCAACCACCTAAAAACGTGGCCCGAAGACAACGCTGACCGCGCACGTTGAAAAGGACATAGTCACGTGGATTGGAGCGAGGCAACAATCGCGGTGGTCCGTTGACCGCAGCGAAATCATTGCGGCAGCGTCGCAGATTTTGTCCGTCGAGCATCAAGCACCCCAACTACTTGGACGTGGATGGTACAAGCGTTTCAGCGAACGTCATCGAATTTTGACTGACAGACTCACTCTGAACTTGTCTAAAAGGCGCGACTCAGTCACACGCGAGGGAACGCTGAAGTATTTCTATTAACTACTTCATGCTTGCTTGCAGTTCAAGTGTACTGCCAGTGACATTTTCAATGTTGACGAAACGAGTTTCAAGACAAAGACAAAAAGCAAGAAAGTTGTGGCTACTCGAGACTCCAGAAGTGTGCACTTGACGGACCAAAGTGACTCCTACCACTTGTCCATCGTTGTCGCTGCGGCAGCAGACAGCACGCCTGTTTCCCCGGCGTTCATCCTGCCCGGTCAAAGCTTTGATACCACTATCCTCGACTTCTGCCCTTTTAAACGCGCTATGGTGACGACGGCGCCAAAGGCGTTCATGACTGCCAACATCTCGACGGGTGGCTTGAAAAATTTGGCGATTGGAAATTGATTTATCGTAACTCGAGGCCTGCTTTCCTTGTCATGGATAATTGCTTTTCGCACTTTTCCCCCAACACCGCCGCTATATGCCATGCCTACGACATACTGTTATTGTACCTCCCTCCCAATTCAACTCACCTCTTCCAACCGCTTGATATGCCGTGTTCCAGTCGTTCAAGCGCTCGGTCTCGAAGAAAGTGTCAATTGCGTTGCGGGCTGGCTGGCGCCACGACTTCGATCTCCCGCTCCAAGGCCATCTCTATTTCAGGATCAGCGTTCAACACGGTTCTCCTTGGTTTGAACAAATTGCTAAACCAGATACTAGTACGAGGGAGTCATATGGACAAAAAGCCTGTTGAAAAAGTAGTGAGAGTGGTTAGGGTGACTTTTTCGGTTATGGTAATCATCGGAATAAGGGTAGAGAAAGCACGAAATACCTTAAACTTATCGTCGGCCCTATTACCAACCACCGATGGGATGAAGCAGACGTGAATCAGGATATACAGTACTGGTATTAACGTTACTGCGAATACGTAGCTACATGGGACTAAACCTCGAACGATTGCTCTAGGCCTCGTGACCTGGAGCAGTAGTGTGAATTGCACTGCGTGCTACCAGACTCCTATGGCAACTTTGCCGGTTTGTGGCGTAGGCGGACACACCCAGCCTACGCACCAACGATGACCAAATCCATTTCTGCTAGTAAGGCAAGAAAAGCATTCTAGAGTCCTGAACCATGCCAGCAGTTGAGCTAGCAATTTGACATTAGCCCTGTGATATTCCTTTGTACTAGTATGCGTTATGTGTGTGCAATGTGACTTTGCGTGAAAGTTAAGAAGTAAAACGTACAGCTGTGTGTGGAGCTCAACGACAAGTTATTCGTGTAAATGCTAGCAATTGGGTCAGAGTGGCGGTAAAATCCACACCTAAAAGTACAGGTTTCAGCCACTATGCGCGACTTGCACATAGTGCATGTAAATCGCTACAGCTGTATCGATTGCATCCCCTACATCGTTCATAACCCCCCACGACCTGCTGTCCCCTCCACAACGATTGTGCTTGTAGCTTATCTACATGTGAAAGCATACAATCATCATTCTACGAGGTTAGAGCCACCATTCACGACATCATGACTAGCTTATAGTGTATGAAGATCACCAGGATAGCAGCGACTGCAACCCCTACATCTGCCGTCGCCCACCTCGCCGACGCCCACGGTCGCCTGGTGTCGCCTCCGCACCGCGGGTACATTGGCAAACTGCCCCAATACAAGGGCCTGGTTCCCATCAACTACAGCGACAACGGCCTGAGCGCCGGCGGCATTGGCCAGACCAGCGGCGGCAAGAACGGCATCTGCGGCGACCCGTACACGGGCGTCCGAGAGCACGAGACCGGCGGCGTGTATGGTCGGTTCCCCCAACACCGCGAGAAGGTCGTGGGGGCGTGCTACGCGCCGGGGTCGACCATCGACGTCCAAGTCCAATTGACGGCCAACCACAAGGGGTACTTTGAGTTCGGTCTGTGCAAGCTGAACCACTTGAACGACAAGGAGACGGAAGAGTGCTTTCAAGCGCTGGCCGAGCCGTCAGGGTTGAAGGAGTGGCAAGTGCCGCCCGGCAACGGCTTCTTCGACATCCAGTACGTCCTCCCCAGCGGCGTCACGTGCGACGGCGACTCGCACTGCGTGCTTCGCTGGCATTACACGGGCTGGAACAACGCCGGCGTGGGCGCCCTTGGCCAAGAACACTTTTGGAACTGCGCCGACGTGTACATCAGCAACACGTGTGGCGCATCCAACCCGACCCCGTCCAGCGCCAAGCCGTCCACGTCGGCGGTGGCCACGCAGCCTCCCAGGCCCACGCAGCCCCAAGCCCCCAGCACGTCCAAGCCGACCATCCCCACGCAGCCTCCCCAGACCAGCGCGCCGTCCAACCCTACGCCAGCCCCCGTACCGGGTCAGTGTGGAACGTGCGCCAACTGCTACTACGCCCCCACCAACGCGTGCTTTGCCGGGTGGTCTGCCGCCCAATGCGCTCAAGTGCCTGTGTTTAAGTGGTGCGGAGTCTAGAGATCTTGGGTGGCCCTGTGGACTGTAGATATATTATCTCGATGTGTAAGTATGTAATTCACGGCTAGAGCTGTTTGAATCAAATTTCTTCGACTGGAGTACCTTTCGGGTCAAAATTGTTCCTCCACCGACTCATCTGATAATTGGGTTGTTACGAATACTCTTACGAAACCCTCCACTTGTTATTAGGGTGCATCTGGTAACACTTCGAAAATAATATTCCATTTTCTCGCAATATGGGATTAACCAAAATGCCATTTTCAAAATGGAGGTAAAATTGGCGTTTGAGATCACTTCAACGAATAAATCCCACGTGGAATTATTGGATTTGGGTTAAAACGCTTCAAGCAAGCCAATGCTTCAATTTTGATCAGATTTGTTGAATTCGGTCCCAAAATGGCGTTTTGGTCCTGAATATTGCGCAATATTTCCGGTTACCAGACGCACCCTAAGTACTTGGACTATTCTATGAAATAGAAGAAATTGCTACTCTCACCTCGCAGTGGTGCTCGAATCGAATCGTCCAGCATCCATGTTAAGCCAAACTTACATTTACTGGAAAGCACAACTTTCTTTCAATGTGTTTTTATTGGAGTCTCCTGCCACCTCTAAAATCCTGAGCTACGATTACAAAGTCTCTAAACTGTAGTCATGACACACGCACTGTACACCGTGCTGCCATTGAGCTCTATAATTTGGTCGCTTTGGTTCAATTCGGATCCATCCACAAAGTCTTCATCGTATGTTGGCTAGATAGATCCGAAATGAATCAAAACGACTTGCTGGCGAGACCGTGACTGACGAAGTGACTATAACTTGAACTCATTGAAAAGTCTATTGAAACACTATACGACCGAGAAAGAATGATCGCTTGTTGCACGAGCACATTCTTCATCAATGACAATCGGTTCAAGCTGCACATTCGTATTTAGCGCAGTTCTCCCGGCAGCACACTTTCACATCCGAAGCGATGATGCCTTCCGTGACACGTAAGAAGCCCTAAAGTTTCGGGCGTCACAGGAGTCACCTCCGGATAATGGGTTTCGTGGAATTCGCAGTCCAATGCATTATCCGGCTGTTACTTTGGTAATCCCCAACCAGCTCCAAGCCATCTCGGGTATCAACAATCATACTGTACCATATGTAGCCATACATCTCTCCAAGCAGACATATCGCATTTGTTCAAAGATACTAGAGTGATTTTGCACCCAGAATCCACATGATTTTCCCCTTACAGTTTACAAGTAAATTTAATTGGGTTTTTTCATTGGTCACGAGCTTTTGCTGTCACAAATTTTCACACTTTGCATCATACTCTTCATGGAACACATCTTACCAGTGTTGCCACTGGTAGCTGAGCTCGTGGAGTAGATGAACTCCACACGCGCCATCACCATCCCTACTGGACGGTTCAACTTCAACTCCCAGACCGAAGCGGACTGCCGATTCATGTTCCGTTTCGGTAAGACCGATATCCCCGAACTCGCACGTCTTCTTGGGTTCCCCGATCCCTTCATCACCAAGGCCCGCTACCACGCGACTGCTATCGAGGTCGTTTGCATCATGCTCATTCGTCTGGCGTGGCCTCATCGTCTTGGGTCCATGGTTCAAACATTTGGGCGCAGCCGAGAGGCGTTGTCTGCACTTTCAAACGCGGCAATGCTACATGTGTATGAGCGATTCGGCCACCTCCTCGACTGGGACTATCAGCGACTCGACAGCCAATGGATGCAGCGCTGCGGTGATGCTATTTACATGCAAGGGGCGCCTCTGAAGACCTGCATTGGGTTTATTGACGGCACAGTTCGCGGAATTTGTCGCCCAAGTAAACAAGTGGAATAGGTGGTATACAATGGGCATAAGTTATACTGTTAATACACGCAATATATTGCTGACTTAATATCGAATTGTGTAATGTTTTGGTAGCGCAAACATGCCCTCAAGTACCAAGCTGTAATGTCGCCGGATGGAATTATTGTTCATCTCCACGGTCCTGAGCCTGGCTCTCGCCATGATGCTTATCTTCTCGCTCGGAGCCAGCTTGTTAGTAAGCTACAAGACAAGCTACCCGTCGAAAACACCCGTTACGTGATCTACGGAGACCCCGCGTATGGGATCAATGATGTGATTGCATCCGGAATTAAAGGAGCAAGATTGGACGTGCGCGAGGCCGAATTTAATCGTCGTATGAGTGCAGTCCGTGTCAGCGTGGAGTGGGGGTTTGGTATAGTCCGCAATTTGTGGACATTTGTCGACTATAGAGGAGGACAGAAGCTTTGGTTCCATGCCGTAGGCGTGCACTATAGTGTTGCTGTCATCCTAACGAACGTGCACACCTGCATGAAGGAAGGCAATCAAGTTTCCAGCTACTTTGGAATGAAACCTCCAACGGCGGAGGAATACCTGCGCCCCCAAGCTTAAGACAAATTAACAGTAAACACAATATTCGGTGCTTTGAGGCTAGACAACTTGTTTGTATGCAGTAAATGCAAAATGAATTACATTTTTTTAGTTATAGAACGCATCATTTCAAGAGTCCCCTCATGAAATCCATTTGTCCTTGGCGTTCCTGTTGTTCAAGAGCAAACCGTGCTTCTCGCTCGGCCTTGTCAAGGAGGTAGCGCTTCTCGTCGAGTTCAAGCTTGCGCATGGCGATTGCGTTGGACTCCTTCTGGAATGCGAGCTCATCGATCTTGAACTTGTTGGTATTTTCCATAATTGAAGTGAAGCTCATGACGGCGTTGACTGACTCCTTCATGATGGCAGAGCTGCGTCTTTCCTTCTTCATCATCGTCTTCTTTGCTTCGTCAGAATCGTTGTCGTCTCCTTCATCCCCCAACGACTTGCGCTTCATCCCCGTGAGGGCGGCTGAACGCACGGTGTGACCGTCTGACTCACGCTTGTCCATTTTCTTGCACTTGTCTTCCTTGGTGGCTTTCTTCTTGTTGGAGATCATGTCGATCTATTTCATACAGGTGATACTCCTTCCTTCGGCATCCGCGTACCATGTCCGAGAGATCTTGTAGCAATTGTTCTCGCTCATCATATTCCTCATCCGTTCCAGATGCACGCAATGATGCCAACATGGCCTTCTGGAAGGCTACGAGTAGGTCGTCGCAACGCTTTCTGCAGCCCGTAGCACTGAGACTATCGACGTGAATGGTGCGCATGTGTTCACCTACTTCTGCCCATCGAGCACTTGTTTGTCCGTAGGGCGCATCATGCGGGCATATAGACATAACCTCCTTGATGAGGTCCACATCCTGCGGGGTCGTGAAACCATGAGCTGGTTTCTTCTTACCCTCAGCTTGCACGTCGTACTGATCGGCCATTGGAGAAACAAGCAATTAGTGGTGTACAGTGAGTATAAAAAGGTTTGTCGAGTCAGAAATTCTGACTGAAATATTGTTACGCTGAATTTTCCAATGGACTCGGCTGAAATCCTCACTCGCTAATTGTATTGTGAAATTTATGATAGCAAAATCCCTCTACTGTCAAACTTAGTAGTTACGAAACAAGTGACTTCCTTTTGAACCGAAAACTGCAGCAACGCTTAGTGATGATTATGGTGGAATACAGGTTTTCATCACAACAAAATTTGTCACTATCACAACGCATTTCGTCGTTCTCACAAGAAAGTCGGCGTGGAATATAGCCGATCATGTGGTAAACTAATTTCAAGTTATCATGTTTGCGGAGGTACTGTATCCCAATTTCAGTCATGTCCTGGGAAGTGAGGGTGTCAAATGTCAAACTATTGTCGGTGAGTTTGTTGACGATGGTAATAGCTGGTCTAAATATAGGGTAGCGGGATAGTCCTGCTGCATTCAACAGCACCCAGCGTATGAGTACAACGACTCAGCCACAAGGTGTTGCAATTGAAGCCTGGTGGCCATGATTCAACAGTGCACAGTGTGTTTCAAGCCACCAGTCGCCCTCGGCGAAACTTTGTCGGCTTGTGGCGTAGGCCGAAATTAATCGTACGCCACAGGCCGACGCAGCTCCAAATCAACGTGATCGTTCTGGTCTTATTGCGCTGTTTTGGCACGAAATCTGGTGTAGCGTAGCTATATATCCAACGTAGTAGATAGAATGCATTATGTTTTACAACATCAGCTGAAGGCTGCGAGGGTAGGAGCTCTTCTCTGCAAGTGGTGACCGGTGCTTATGGGCCTGAGACTGTAAATTGACTTATTTATGGAATTCGTAGGGAGATTGCCTACGATTTCATATTTAACCAATGAAAACACTCGTGTACAGTGATTGGATAATTCAATCACAAATCCGTGCTCATCACGAAACACTATTGAGGATAGTCCTTGGCAATGCAGGCTGCATGATACGAGTGCAATTATACGTCGATGGAATATCATAGTCATGTACTACGGAAGTAGTTTCGACATCAACGTTGACTGTAGTAAGCATCCATTCCGTCACCACGACCTTGCCCGTTGAAAGGCATCAGCTACCGTCGGACGACTCCAACGTGCCTGTTGTCTGCGCCGGCTTGCACAACCAGCTACCGTGCTCACGACGGTAGACTTCGATGACAAATCCAAAAGTGTCTTCATTATCATTCAGGTTATGTGCCCATCAACCAGCGAATCACTTCGCTGTAATCCAGGCATCACAGTCAATACACTTACAGTGTACCGAGGGAGGTTCGGTAAGTCCTAGCCTGGGCCT